AATCAATAGTTTTTAAATCAGTCGATATTTCATAAAACTGAAAAATTCGATGTCTCTCATTTTACCATTCCAGTAGTGACAAAACAATTCATTTGACTTGCTGATAACTTGATAATTAGTTAAGCTTATCAATAAATTGACTGATAAATCTGACGATTAACAATTCTGAAAGGTACATGCATATCCCCAAAACCGATTCGAACTGCGAAATAACTTGACGATTCTTACGTTCTCGTACAAAAACCCGATTTTCAGAATGGCCTCACAGTCATTGACTCCGTCAGCCATCGTGGCGTCCCCTGTCTGGTCCCCTAAGAGGATAACATTGTTTCTTCCTTCAAGAACCTTGAAATACTCCTTATCAACTGCATGTTCATTCTTGTTCAGCATATGGATGAGCGGATCATTTTTGAATCCCTCAATTTTGTTGTCCTTCAACTTGAGAAAATTCGAGATAATCTTCAGATTACTCAGGTAGACACCGCGATATTTGAGGATATGCTCCACGACGTCCCCCAGGCCTGCGCTGAACACCAGCACTGGCACATCCGCTGCTTCTAATCTCTTTAATAATTTCTTGGTGCCGTCCCTCAAATCAGTCCCATAAATCTTAGCTACATCGTGTAGTTCAGAGGCGTTAAAGAACAGTCCTTGGAGAAGTTTCTGAGTCTCGATCATCCAATCCTCCATCGCCTTCATCTTCAATTCCTCCTTGAGGTCAGGGTCCAACTCCATTTGACGGTATATGTTGTATAAGGAACGTGCTTCCGCTTCTATTTCCTCGGGTATTTGTTTGCATTTGTAAAAAATTCCTGAAAAAGTTAATGAATTTTTGAGGAGGGGATATAATTTTTCTTGAACACGACGAGTCGTTATAAACGCCCTATAATTCCCGAATAAATCCTTATACCCTAAACTGAACGCAGTATGAGAACAATATGAAAACGTATAAATCAAAATAATAATTGACCTGAAATTAATAGCTTTTGGAGTAATCAATATCTTATAATTCCACTCCGATTACGTCTGAACTGTTGGACGGATCGTATGCGATAACGTGTCCTTGCAATATTTTCACACTTGTATTATCGATCAATTTTGGCAATTTTTCTCGATCTTGATCTCATCGTAATTTTCCCCTTGAATATATCATTTCGTTGTTTCACTTTTTGTTTCTTTTAATGATAATAAATTTCTCCATATCGACAACGTCATACGAAGAAAATAAAACTTTCAAGAATTTAAACCATATTCTTCTACAAAGCTTTAATTATTTCAATTATTTA